GCAGGAGGGGCCTGTGGCAGGGGATTGGGGTGTGGGTGGGTGTGGGCTCCAGGAGGGAGTTTGGGTGGGGGAGGGGACTCCAGGCTGGGGCAGGGGGTTGAGGTGCGGGAGGGGATGAGGGGTTCAGGGTCCCGGTGGCGCTTACTGCAGCTCCCGGAAGTGTCTGCCAGGTCCCTGCAGCCCCTAGATGCATGGGCAGCCAGGGAGGCTCCGTGCACTGCTCTCGCGCCCACAGGCACCGTCCCTGCAGCTCCCATTGGTCGCGGTTCCCGGCCAAAGGAGCTGTGGAGCCAGCACTCAGGGCGGGAGCAATGCATGGAGCTTCCCTGGCTGCCCATGAGTCTAGGAGCTGCAAGGACCTGGCAGCCACTTCCAGGAGCCGCGCAGAGCTAGGGCAGGCAGGGACCCTGCCTTAGCCCTGGGCCCCTCATTGTGCCACTGACCGGACTTTTAACGGCCAGGTCGGCGATGCCGACCGGAGCTGCCAGGGTCCCTTTTTGACCAGGCATTCTGGTCAAACACCGGACGCCTGGCAAACCTAAGCTGGGCCACATGGTGAGGGGGCTCCAGGCAGGGGCACATGGGGAGGGAGCTCCAAGCAGAGCCACATGGGGAGGGAGGAGGGGTGCTGAAAATGCTGTGTGCCTGGAGGCACATACGGTGTAAATCTGGCCCTGGTCCCTTGTGAATATAACTCTGATATCTTGTGTTTGCCTTCAAGTATGGATTTAAAATTACATTCTGATGTTTACATTTTTGCAACAATGCAAATCCCTTTGTCTGAGGGCCAAAGTGCAAACTGCCAAAATCAGGTTTTTCTGAGGCAGGATAGGAATTACAAGGATTTATTTTTTGATCACAATAAAAAGTGGCTCATCAGGTGGTGGCTAGTACTGATGGCACTAATGTAATGAAAGAGTGACCACATGTAGTGCTGTGCATGCCACTGAAATTTGCTCTCAAATAGCAATAGAACCCTTAAATGTCAGACACAGACTGGACCCCATTAGTTGATTGTCACTGGAGATCATTGTCATGCATGTAATCCCACCAAACATGTGAAGCAGTCCCTTATTGTTCCTATGAAGTGCAAGAAAAGTAAATAGGATACACACAGGAATCTGAACAAGATTAGCAAGAAGGTAAAGAATGATATGCTTTACATATTAGTAATACCGAATGCTATTATGGCTCATCAGAGCTGAAGAAGTATTACTGTATTCGATTACTCTGAACACATAAATTCAAAGCTCTCAGGATCTATCTGCACTGCAACCATAAACAAAATTGTGTGTTTGTGTGTATAATTCCAGTTATTTCTCTACTCTTTACCTTGCTTATCATAACTACATTTGATTAATCATCATGAAATGGGAAAAACAAAGAACTAAAGCACTGATACATTACAAAAATAATTCCATGTTTTCCTCAGGCTTAATAGCAGAGTGATTTTAATTTGTACATATTTAGTGCTTTAAAACACATGGAATTAATGTAGGAAGCTGCAAATCAGATGAAACCTCTAGTGTTTTCTGTTCACTAATCCTGAGATAAAAATCACGGCCCTGTGTATATAGCATCAACAAAGGCTTTTGGAGAAAACTGTAGATCTGTCATAGGTCAGACTAGATGGCAGGAAAGATGTGACCTTATGCATGTGCACTGTTTGGAAGTAGAGAGAATGGGAGTATCAGTCAACTTGGCCAGGTGTCTGAAGTTGTGCCTAATGAGGGGTTTTGACACTAAAACCAGGGTGCCTGATATACCATTTTTCTATTGGATTTCGCAACATCAAGAATAACAAAATGAAGCAAAAAAGGCTAATGTGATGTAAGAAATAAGCTTGTACATGCCTGCTCATTTCTGTTCTTTGAAACGATGTGTCCACCAGTCATCAGAGGAGGGGCCCTCTGAGCTATGGCAGCACAGCAGTGAGTAACCTCAAAGAGGAACCAGTAGGTCTGATTCACTACTGCGCTGCTTCAGTGTAACTCCATATAAATGAATGTAGCTAATCTGGTGTAAAACTGGAGTGACACCATGGAAAATGCGGCCCGATTTCTCCAAAGCCAGGTATTCTCACTCAATTGATTTGTATAGTAGGTTTAAAAACAAAAAAATCTTCAATATTTGGAGCCAAAACTATAAATGCATATACAGGGCTGAAAACACCTACATATCCCTCACAAAATCTGAACAGCTGATACAATAAAGATGACCACAAATGATGAAGAAAAAGATGTGATACGTGCTGTGAGGAAAAAGTATAGACAAGAAAAATGCACTACTCCTTCCCCCGCCTTGAAGACAGAGGTGTAGATGGGTGGGCACATCCTTTCAAAGAACAGGAATAAGCAGGTAGGTCACTGTTCCTTTTTCTCTTCCAGTGCCCCATCTGCCTATCCTTGTAAGGATGCTTGTATCACAGCAGAACCCCTTCCAAGAGTGAGTCACAAAAAATAATAAATGCTCTGTGGGGCATGGACCGTCAGTCCTGTGTCTTTATAGCTCTAGCCCAAAAGGGCACCAGGCTCTGAGTGGAACCTCTAGGCCCCTCCAATATAAATATACAGCAGGAGTATAGAGTAGCCAAAAGGAAGTACAGTATCCCATCATGTAGAAAAATAATAGAAAAAAACCCCAAAGGTCAGTCCTCAGTCACAGCCTGGAGAATCCTCCTGCTGAATGTTACATTTGATGAGTTTGAGTTTATCTCATTTAGCGAAAGTACAAAGTGATGACTAAGTGGCTGCCTTGCAAATCTCTCCCGCCAAAGCTCCTACGCTTTCAGCTGCTGATGATTTTTAGGTAAACCTGGAGCAATAATGCCAGAAGGCACTGGACAACTCAGTTTCTTTTACAGCATTCTTTAACTATGCAGGACCTTATCCAGTTTCTAATGGTGTACTTTGAAACTCTTTTGCTCCTGTGTCTGGGATACAGGGAAACAAAGAGAGGACATCTGAACTCTGTTTTAAGTATGGAGCTAATGCTTTCCTAACATCAAGCTTATGCTATTTTACCTCCTTTGGGCATTCATACATAAAGAAGACAGAACGATGCCTTGAGACTGATGAAAGGTGTCCCAAATAGCACAAAAGAGAGTGTACATCTTGGAATAAACTTTGGAGAAGTCTGCAGCACCATTCTGTCATTGTGGAAAGTACAACTATTTCTTCATTGACAGAGCACCTCATTCAGATAATGGCTGAGGTTATAGCTATTAAAAATGCCACTTCTGAGGAGAGAAAATAAGTATGCATGTGGGTGAGCGGTTCAATCAGCAGCTCCACTATGATATTCAGTATTTCTAAGGGGGCCATTTTTTAATATTTGGAGGATATGTCAACTTGTGAGTAAATGTGAAACAAGACCCAAGAAAGTACAATGTCAAGCTTCTACTGTTATTTAGGTCTAGGGCAGTGCTGATGGTCATAATCTGCACCTCCCTGGAGCTATCACAGAGATCCAAGGATGTTCCAACTTGCGGGAAGTCCATGATGTAGTGGATCTTCACTTCTATAGATGAACTGAATTTCTTCGTGCACCAATGGGTGAAAGTGACCTATTTTGCCACATATAATTCATTTGCTGATAGCTTCCTTAAAGCTATTAGGATAGTTATGACACTCAGAAACCCCACAGGCTTACAGCCCCATGCTCAATGGTCTCTGTCCCCACTGGTGGAGAGGAATGTGCCATACACCACTTTTCCACCCTGCCCCCCAATCCCGCAATAATACTTTATCATCCAATCGTGTTCTGTTTTTACCATACTTTGGGAGGCAAGAAAAAAGAGTACACACCACAGAACTACTCCAGCACTCCCAATCAAAGGAGATGACCTAGTGCTTCCTTCACAGCTGCATTTTTTCTGTATGCCTGGAGGACACATCCAGGGTTTCAGAGTCCAACAAGACAATGTTGTTTGTTTTCATCTCCCCAAGAAGTAGCTCAGCCTGCTCTGAGATTAAATGAGAGTTGGGGAGGTGGTATTCAGTCAGGCTGGCTGCACATCACTGACTATTCCACATAAATGGAAACTGGCAAACTGGTTTGTTTTCCATTAGCATAAAGGAATATAAAAAAATCACTTTTTGCCAGTGGACTCTGACTTCTTGTCATAAATAATGCAAAGTTGTACCTCACGGCAATCAGGGAAATGAGGTCAAAGGGTAAATTCTGCATGCTGTGACACATTTTCATGCATTGAATCAATGCTCATATGCTTACACCCATGCTAGAGAGAGCACAAAGGGAGAGCTTGTGTGGGTGTGAGAGTAAACTGTAGAGAAGGATGCTGACAAAATGTTAAGATGTGCTGAATTCCAGGAAACAACAGTACAGATGTGGTGTTTGGGTTCAAATAGAAGGGGAAATATCTGATGCCTAGGACGTAACTTCCCACTGTCCGTTCGGCCATATCCCTTTGGTCAAAGGGTTCTGGATATTCATATGCACCCCCTTCTACTCAAAGAAAAGACCAAAAAGACCTAGAACAAATACGACTTAAAATTAGTATTTCTTTTGAAAAATGAAAACCAAAAACCTTGCCTCAAGTAGGGGCAAAAGGGAGAAGTGCCAGAAACTCCATTAAATCCACAAGGGACTCTGCTGCTTCTACTGATTTTATATGGGAAGGTGCTCGGATATTATGTTGATAGTATAAAACCCTAAGATAGATAAATGAGAGAAGAGCACCTTAATATTTTTCATTTTTCTAACCTAGTACAGACAGACATATGTACCCAGATAAACACTGAAAGTGTAGAAGTTGTTTTAAATTGCTTTACACTAACAACTGTGATTGTTCAGAACAACAACTACAGATATTATGGACCTCAGCTGGTGCAAATCAGCATAGCTCTATTGACTTCAGTGAAGCCGCTCTGATTTACATGCGCAAAGGATCTGGCACTAAATATTGTTCTGTTGGTGGGGGTGGAGGGTTGTTTTCGTTTTTATTTAATACAATTGGACTAAAGGCTCTATGTGACTCAGTACTGAACATCTGGGATTGATCACAAGATCACAAGCTGGAAAGCATTCATCTTGGCTTCTAGAAATAAACACATCTAACTCAATGCTTTCCACAACTTTATTGTTTTAATGATAGATTGAAGGAGCTTAAACAGCCATTTTAAATCTTTTAATACTCACAGCTTTAGTATTTTTAGCCATTTTTTTCACATCATAGTATCACGCAGCAATTATATTGATTTTAATTCCGCGGTGGGGGGGCAGTTTTAGTGTGATTTTTATTCCCATTATTAATTCCTTATTTTTCCCCACAAGATTTCATAGGACTATGATAATCCTGCAACTCAGATTTTTATTAGTTTCATTTTTCACAAGTATCGTGGGAGAGGCCCAATATGTAATGCAAGATGCAGTACTAATGCATTACATCGACCGGCGTTTTCTATCTTTTGAGGTATGTGTTATCTGTATAATTGTGTCACAGGAATATTGTCTTGTTGCAAATATATTTGAAAGGTGGTGCATGTTCTTACATATATGCATATATGTTAATCATCATCAGTAAAATAATGAATAAACAAAAACAAATAAAATTAACAAACTTAATTAGTATGTTATGATAACTAAAACCTGTAACTTTAATTATTTCATGTTATCATAGCATTATTTATCATATCATATCATTTTTATTTTATTATAAAGAGCCGAGTTCTGCTGTCAGTTGCATCTGTGTAATCCCTTCAATAAAATTTAGCTAAAAATGTGTAAATGTTTAAATTGCTGTCACAGTATGTCTCCAGAATATCTGCATTTCCTGTTGGCATCAACAGGATTGGTGACAAAAATTAATAATGAATTAGTAAGCAGAGAAGATAGTCGAAAAATGCTTTGTAAGCTTCCAATCTACAGTTGAACTTTAAGTGTATTTGCGTCTTGACAAGAGACTGAAAAAATCCCCATGTGGTTGGGAGACTGGAAAAAGTTTTGGTTCTGCTAAATTTCATAAGATTACAGTCCCTCAGACAGGGCTCCCACCTACTCCAGTATCTGTCCTCTTTCTTCAATTAAAATCACCGAGTACTGCAAATTAAATTCAGATGAGATTGTTAAAAATAATTCCAGAGGTTTTTCATTCCTAGATCCTAAATACCAGTGTACCATCACGCATACTTTATTTAAACACTGTGATAAATATACAATAGGACAGAATTTGTATGGGATGAATTACTAAAAATTGCTATTGTGCCTTTGGCTGGTAATAATTTGTGTTAATAAAAGAATTGTAAAGAAGCTCTAACAGTAGTCACTCCTGCACTCCTTCCTCATGCAGAGCTCCTACTGGCTTCAGTAGGAGTTTTGCCTTAGAAAGCAGTGAAGAACTGGGCCAATGTTCTGTCCCCATTAGGTGGGCTGGGATTAATACTTCACTAACCTACACAAGAATGACAATCATATAAGTTTCAACTGGCTGTTTCCTCCTTTTTGCTTCATAGGAGAGAGACGTTTCTCCCATCCTCTCTGGTTCAGACCCCTAAACCAACTAACATCCTAAGGTTCTCGCAGAGGTTGGGACACCCATAGAAGCTGATATATGTGTAATTGTACAAGCAATGTGGACAGGGGGTGAATATCTCCTACCCCCTCACATTTCAACTGGAGGGGGAAAATAATGTCTTTCTTCCTTACACACACAAAGACTAAGGGAGAGGTGAAGGAGGAGTGGACAGTAGCAAGGGCAGAAAAGGGGAGGGGTAGATATTGGAGGGAGAAGCAGACTTTAGACATTTGGGAGCATGGATAGAGGCACTTTGTGTAGTGAGGAGGAGAGACAGGTAGATGGGCCTCTTGGTGGGGATTATGGTCATATGCAAAATTCCAAGTTAGCACTTGGATAACTGGCATAAAATGAGCTGGGGAGCTATAAAAACCTCACCAAAGATTTCAGAGAATGAAACACATAACACATACTGCATGGTTCCCTTTGTAAGTATATTTATTCCTCAGTCATAGAAAAGCTCACCTAACACCCACAATGAAAAGCTTGAAACCTGTGTGTAAAACACCACAACTGAGTACCCAGTTTTAACTAGTTAGGACTATCATTCTTGTGTATCTGCCCTTAGATACTGATACACTTTCAATAACTCATCTGAAAGGCAGTGTGGCCTAATGGGTGGAGCACTGGACTAGAACCAAGGATGCCTGGGTTCTATTCTCAGCTCTGCCACTGTCCTGCTGCATGCCATTGGGCAATTCACATCTCTCTGTGCCTCAGTTTCCCCCTTTGTAAAGAGATTTGTGGATGAAAAGTCCTATAAAAATCACTAGCTTTTTCAGCATCTAGCCTATTATGAAGTTTTGACAAACTAAACGGGACTAAAATTTAAAAAGTGGCTGATAATATTGGGTACCTTGGATTTTGGGTGGCCAATTTGAAACACCTTAAAGAGTGCTGCTTTTTAGAGGTGGAAGCTCAGCATTTTGTGAAAATGAGGCCCCTTTTATGATGACTCCAGCTGGGCACCGTAAATCACTAGGCACTTTTGAAAATGTGTCCGATGGCAGGGCCATTCGAAATGGTCAGGCAGGTAGGGCCTGACCTAAGATGAACTGATACTGAGGAAGCTGCATAGATGTGCTCGTCTTTCCAATCTGAATTCATTGCTCTATCTTCCATGATTTTACTCCCACAATTTTGACCATTTTGACACAAACTTTCTTAGCAAACATTGATTTTGTAGGTCAAAATTTCAATTTTCCATTTTAAATGCTAGGAAAGAGGAAGTAGCATTAACTCTGGATTAGATATCTGCTGGGCCAGCAAAGGAACAGTGTGTGAAATGTGGTTGCTTCCTGGCTCCAACAGCCCCTGTTTTCACATTTTTATGAGACAGACTCAGCAGAGACCCTAAAGAGAGGATTCTGAGGGGCCTCAGGGAGGGGAGTCACCAGTGATCCCTCTGTTCTGCTCTCCAGTGGGTTCTACCAGGGCTCCACTTGGCCAACAGAAAAAGAGCAAAGAAACTGGCCCTTCATAGCAAGGGAGACTACAGATATGTAACCACAAGTATGAATTTCAGTGACTTTCTCATGCAGATTAATAAGTGACCAGGGATAATTAGTTTGAAATGAGGAAGGGAAGGGGGGCCACTGGTATTTATAAACTAACCATGTATTAAGATTCTATCTATAGAAAATACACACGCACACAAGCAAATATATATTTATATATTCTGTATTCTAATTCAAGAGCAGGCTGGAAAAATGCAACCAAGATATCCTGGATTATGTACAAGAATTCCGAGACTTTTCAAGGAGGATGATATCGCGCCTGGAGGGGCTGAAAGTTTATAAGGCTGAGATTAAAAATGAAGTGGAGCATCTGCTAACAAGAGTTGAAAGAGCACAAAGGGACATTGACTATTTTGAATCAACGAGAGAATCTACTACCTGTGTAGAAGTAGATGAAGACCTGGTGGAAAAGCAGCTAAATGAAGACGCAGAAGAAAAAAGGAAAGTCAAGCTCATGCTTAATGCAAGTAAGAACTATTTACTTTTCAAAACTTAGATCTAAGAGGGCCAATCCTCTAGTCAATACATTTATGCTGATATGTGGATAAAGTATATTTACAAGTGTATGTTTTTTAAGTGTGATAATTTTGAGCTTTCAACAAAGAAAACAAATACACCAAAAGGAAAAGGGAAATGTTATAATTAATATATTTGTTATATACATACTGAATTGCATGTTAAATTGGTTCTTTGGAAATAGCTCTTTAATTGGAGCATTAAAAGCATTAAAAAAAAAAACAACTAAAGGTATGCTCGGGCAACTGTCACAGTTCCCAAGACAACTGCACCTCTGACCCCTTTTTGGTCTCATTAAGGGTATTCCACTTACGTCTCAAGCCTCTAATCATCACCATGACGTGATTCTCAGCCTTCAGCCTGGGTATTTAGGCTGCACACTCCTGCAATTCACTGCGATCAGCTTAGTAAGTCTGAATTAAGTTCAGCACCTCATGCTTCAGGGCTTCAGACAGAATCTGTAGGAGGCCAGAAGCAGGGCCAGCCTTAGAGGTGGGTGACTGCTCAGGGCCTCATTGTCAGTGGTTGCCATCAGACTACCGCAAGATGGCGGGCCTGGGCTGCCAGAGAGGGGGTGAGTGTGGGCGAGCCCATGGCTGGAGCCCCACCTGGCCAGCTGGGCAGGAGGTGGCTGATGCAGCCTGGAGCTGCCAGTCTGGTGGGGAGGCGCAGGCAGCCGGGCTCACTCCTGCAGAGCATGGGGGCCAGGCCAGCGGCGAGCAGGAGGCACAGGGAGGGAGGAGACGGCACTGGGGGAGGAGGGAGGTTGTGCACCACATCCTTGCTCCTTCCCCTCTCCCCCCCAGAGCCTCCTCAACGCCACGACACAGCTGATCGTGGCGGGCAGGAGGCGCTAGGGGAGGGAGGGAGGTTGCACGCCACGTCCTCACTCCTCCGCCCTTCCCAATCATATACCTTCCCAATAATTTCCCCCAGAGCCTCCTGAAGGCCGCAAAACAGCTGATCGCAATGGGCAGGACGCAGGGGAAGGGAGGAAGAGGCACTGATTTGGGGGGGCTGCTGGCGGGTGGGAGGCGCTGTGGGAGGGAGGCAGGCTGATAGGGCTGCTGGTAGGTGCTGAGCACCCATGATTTTTTCCCCAGAGTCGGCTCCTAGCAGGAGCCCCGTATTGTCTTCTGAAGAGTTACATGCGGCTCCGGAGCCACCTGCTGGCCACCCCGATATATTGTATAAACACCTTTTCTGCCTAGCATTAAGATTAGTTTGCTAACCCAGTTGTTTACCTGATCAGGTTGCTGGGTCAGCTTTTCACCTAACTGTTCTCTTTCCTTCCCAGACAAGCAGGCATCTTTTCACATTTCCCCACACCTAAAATATACATTCGACATATTACATACTTCATGGATTGATCCCTATCCCTGTGTCCAGTGGTCATTTTATAGAGCTCTGGGTTCTTTGTTTGTCAGGCTTATGGATCCGGTTAAACCAGTCTATGCAATTCCCTCAGGGAAGTTTCTCCAAACCTGTTACCTGTCCAGGACGTTGCATTAATTACTCTCCAATAATTTTAGTTCCTTGAAACTCTTGAGCTCCCATATGGACCCAGAATACCATCCCTAGTCCATAAAATACATATAACATTTATAAACTAGACACAATAGTCTTTAGATATTCCACATGTCCACAGTATCTGTCACAGCGACATTCCAGGAAAAACAGTGTCTCACAGTTGGTTGACGCTGTGCCAACTAATTAAGTGGCTTACATTTTTTTGCGCCATAGCCTCAACCCTAAGGATAATTCAATAGACACTGAAATTACTTAATCTACTAGTAAATTTTCCATATATTTTAATATTCTCTGTAATTCTCTATCAAGATCATACAGTAAGTGACTTAGCTGCAAGCAAAATTCAGTTTTGAATTTCAGAGTAGCAGCCGTGTTAGTCTGTATTCGCAAAAAGAAAAGAAGTACTTGTGGCACCTTAGAGACTAACAAATTTATTTGAGCATAAGCTTTCGTGAGCTACAGCTCACTTCATCGGATGCATTCAGTGGAAAATTCAGTGGGGAGATTTATATACACAGAGAACATGAAACAGTGGGTGTTATACACACTGTAAGGAGAGTGATCACTTAAGATGAGCTAATATCAGCAGGAGAGTGAGGGGGGGGAGCAGCAAGAAAACCTTTTGTAGTGATAATCAAGGTAGGCCATTTCCAGCAGTTGACGAGAATGTCTGAGGAACAGTGTGTGTGTGTGTGGGGGGGGGAATAAACATGGGGAAATAGTTTTGAATTTGCAAATTCAGCATGTAAATAGATTCATAGATATTAAGGTCAGGAGGGACCATTATGATCATCTAGTCTGACCTCCTGCACAATGCAGGCCACAGAATCTCACCCACCATGTTCTAATATGTAATCTAATCTGAAGTACATATACATTTTATGTTTTATTAAAAGCCCTTATCCTCTTAAACTGCATCTTTAAATAGTATCTCGCCACTATGAAATTCACTAATTGATGCAAATTATATACAGTATGGACATTTTAGCTGGTCTATTTTATTTCCAGTCAGAAGCAGTGTGAAATCAGAAACACATAACAGAAAATTTAAAATTTGGAATCAGAACCTTTTAAAAAAGCTTCGGGGCAGATCCTAACGTGGCGTATATTTGACTTCAGTGGAGCGAAATCAAATTACATCAGCTAAGGATCTGCTCTCTTCATCTTTGTCAACATGCTGTCAAAGGGTTAAAGCAGGTGGTAATGATGATACTATCACCCTTCTCACCCTGTTTACAAAGCCTACTCCTACCCCAGTCTACAGCACTCTGAATTTCAAGGTCTGTTCCTTTCTAGATCTAAGCTTGTTTGATGATTCAGGCACTTCCTTTGACATGCAGTAAAAAAATAAACTGGATGTTTTTTAAAACGTCTCACGGTAAAGACACTGAAAATTGTTTCTTTCTAAAAGTAACTAGGGTAAAATTACCTGCCCTTGAGTCTTTCCAGATGTTGAAAAGTTGTTATTGATAGTTACACATTAGTATATACTAGCCATCATCGTTAACCACATCATATTAACAGGTCCATTATCCATTTCCAGATTTTACAGCATTGTTTGCGAGTGTTTAAGGTCTTGCTGCCTAGGTTTCCAGCTGTCTGTGGAATACATTTACTGCTGCTTGAGGTAATTCTTAGCTGACACCACTATTTAAAAGCAGAGCCATGAGTTCATTGCTATGTTTAATTGTAGTCATTGAGGACCAAATCCTGGTTCCACTGAAATCAATGGGGAAACTAGTAAGCATGTGGCTTTTAGAGCACTTAGATAAAGTCATCTGTTAAACAGTAAGTGACTCTTAGCCTTAACAACAGCAGAGCTGCCACTTCACCATAAGGGGCATGGTATCAGTCCAAGGTGAGTGTGTTTGGTTTGAATACGTTCAGACACTCACTGATTGTGCAGGAAGAGTGGTTGATCTTCCAACTCTGCCTTGGCTGGGAATGGGATATGGCATTCCTGTAGATTAGGCATCAAACTGCCTTCTGGGACTGATGGTTTTAAGATTTGGAAGTATCCTGGGGCAGTAGAGGCGTCTCCAGTCCTTCATTTTGGCTGCAGTAACCAAAGGGTATATGTAGGGGGTATCAGTATCCAGAAGTGCAAAAAAGGGTTGCTTTCTGGAAGCAATGTGAGTATTTCTATTGACTTCAATGGATTTGGACCAAGTAAAAAGAGAGGAGGCTGATGATGCAGCGGAGTTTGCTTTTGTCTTCTCCATTTCATCTACTGCCAGAACTTGCTGCCTTAGGGGCTTGTTTGTCCTGTTTGGTTAAGAAGGCTGCACTTTATTAAAAGACATTCTTTAACCGTCAAATAGTGTCTCTTCTAATTTGTTAAAGCGGCAAAGAGTCCTGTGGCACCTTATAGACTAACAGATGTATTGGAGCATAAACTTTTGTGGGTGAATACCCACTTCGTCGGATGCATGTAGTGGAAATTTCCAGAGGCAGGTATTGTTATTGCCTTTGGCAAGCAAGCTGTTTACTCCTCTCATATACATTGTAATAACATGTTTGCTGGAAGGAATAGGCAGTTGATAAAGATTGAGAGTTCCCTGGGCATGATTCTCCATTGCCTTGCACCTGGTAGAGCTGTTAATATCTGTGCAAATTGGGTGTACAATGCTACCAACTCCGAATTACCTGCTTATTCTGATAATAACATTTAGCACTCACTTCGCACTGGTGTATATGACTACGCCACTACTCCCATGACATGCCTCTAACCTGAGTTATGGTGACATGGAGCTGTTGTTTTGATGGTCCTACACCACCTATGGCATGCCCCAAAGCCAGAGAGATCCTGACTTTGGGATCTGGCTGATCTCTGGCTCTTTTATGTTGCAGGAGTGGTGAAAATGGGCCAGAACAAAACCGAGAATTGAGATCTTTATATTCTGGGTTCATATTAGGATGCTGTGTTTCTTGCTAAGGGTGTTATGTTATTGGGGGGTGGGGGGGGAACAGAGGGTAGGAGTGAGCCCCTGAGATAGTATGTTAAAATTCAATAGGTCAGACTTTAACCGGTAGGTCTTTTATAAATAAAGGACTTGATTCTTCTCTCGTGCTGGTGTAAACCAGGAGTAACCTCACTACAGTGAATGCAGACACACCTGTGTAAAACTGGTGTGAATGAGAGAAGAATCGAAGGTGCTGCTCTGTGTCTCCTCTCAGTTACAATAATGCAATGCTGTTTGGGTGGCATTGGTGTAACAGAGCAGAATTTGGCTCCATGTATGTAGTTGAAGATCTGCCATGGAAACTCATTGCCTAAGATGTTGATTCTACGCAGAGGTGAAAGCAAGCCGGTACAGTATGGTGTGGCGTACCGATAAGAGCCAGTACACAGCCGACCGTACTGGCAGGGCCGCTGATGAGGGAGGCCAAAAGGGGCAGCTTCCCAAAGCCCGGGAATTTAAAAGGGCCCAGGGTTCCCGGCAGCGGCTGGAGCCCTGGCCCTTTAAATCGCCGCCAGAGCCCTGGGGCTCCTGTCCACCGCTACCACTATGATGGGGCTCCAGCGGTGATTTAAAGGGACCGGGGTTCCCGGCCGCTGCTACTGCAGCAGCGGCGGGAGCCTGAGCCCTTTAAATCGCCGCTGGAGCCCTGGGGCTCCCAGGCGCTGCCGCTACCATGGGGCTCTGCTAGTGATTTAAAGGGCCTGGGGCGCTGGGTGCTGTCGCGGTAGCAGTGGCGGCGGCTGGGAGCCCTGGGGCTCTGGCGGCGATTTAAAGGGCCCGGGGCTCCAGCCCCTTAAATCACTGCCAGAGCCCTGAGCTAGAGCTAGCGGTGGCCGGAAGCCCCGGACCCTTTAAATCGCCGCCCAGCACTGAAGGGCTGGCTCGGGGAGTCTGGCCTCAGCCCTGCTTCTTCTGCCCGAGGCCCCGCACCTTCCAGTTGAGCCACCCCCCCCGACCTTGCTCAGGACCCTAGCCGCCCTGCATACTGGTAAGTCCCTTAAGTTACTTTCACACCTGGTTTTACAATATGAAATGAGTTTGGTGACTACTTAACACAGCAATTTTGTTGCCACATTTACAGACATTTTGGACATACTCTAAGCAATGGATGAAGGGACTAAGAATTCAAAAGAGAGGGAACAATAAGAGGATTCAGTCATTCTAATTTTATAATCCTTTATATTTGGACTGTTTCCTTACAGGCTGTGACAACATGCTTGCGGGTATCAAGTCCCTAAAGATAGTTAAGAAGACTGGAGATATGCATGGCTTTTGGATGACAGATCCAGGCAAAGACCATCTGAAGATTTATTTCTTAAGTGGATCCAAGAATAATGTTATTTTGGAATTTGCAAATATTCGGGCATTCTCAGAAATGAATCGTAAGCTAACACCACGGAGAGTTAACTTGCCATCTTCCTGGCAGGGAACTGGCCATGTTATATATAATGGTTTCCTGTTTTATCACAGATATGGCTCCTTAAATGAGATAGTTAAATATAACATCCAGAGAAGAAAGGTAACGGATAGAATGCTCCTGCCAGGTGCTGGACAGATTCCTGCCTATGAACTGTTTCCTGATACTAAAATAGATCTTGCTATTGATGAACAAGGGCTGTGGGCAATCCATGCAGAGCCAGACACGAGTGGAAACCTCGTCATCACTAAAATCAACCATATGACTATGACTGTGGAGCATACTTGGGACACATCATGCAACAGCAAGAATGCTGAAGCAGCTTTTCTAATGTGCGCCACCCTCTATGTTGTGTACAACTCTCCTAGCGGAGGCACATCTCGGATAGAATGTGTGTACGATGTCTTAGGCACCATAAATGCTTATGAAATCCCCATGTTACCTTTCCCCAAACGTCAGCGCAGCCATTCCATGATACATTATAACCCCAAAGAAAAGCAGCTATTTGCCTGGGCTAATGGATCCCAGATCCTTTACAAACTTCAAACAAAGCAAAAAGTTTAAGATCTTTCGGAACTTTTCAAAGATGAATATTAAAACAAGCTTAAAGTCAATGACCCAAGTTCTCTTCTCAGTTACCATCACGGAATTCCCCTTGCTTTTCCATTTGCTCATAGATGCTTTATATTATATATTGGGAGCTGAAACACCTCCTCTCCATTACACTGATTGCCCCCAATTGGATGAATTTGGAAGGAAACTTCCACAAGTTCAAACTCACAGAGATAAATTTTCTTCTGCTGTAAATTGATATGGTTCTATTAAAAAGTTAGTGAAATTGTGCCAGTTTACATCATCAGGGAATTAGACCAACAGAGTTTTCACTCCCATACATGGTGTAATCCCATTCAATGCAACACCAGGCTCTGTACAAAACACATATTTGAGCAAAATCCTTATATTCACCTCAGTCAGTTTAGTATAAGTAATGAGTAAGGCCTGAAGGATTTGCCCCGTACTAAATACTCCCAAGGTCATCCTGTTAATTTTTTTTCAAGTGAATGTAGGGCCTTGATTCAGCATAGCTCCTAAGCACATTTTAACTTTAAGCACCTGCTTAGGCCCATCAATGCACTTATGCACCTCTTAAGTCTCACTGACTTCAACTGAACTTTAAGCACATGCTCAAAGTTAAGCATGGGATTAAGTGCACTGCCGAACTGAGGCCTTTGTATTTGTGACAGGTACAGGTAGACAGCACTGAACAAAAATATCCAGGGTTGTAAAAGTAAATATTGAAAAACAACAAAGAGTTCTGAGAGAGATACAAATCCTATGCTTCAGGAAATAAAACAACCTCTACTACTGGGGCTTAGACGGAAATTTTTATCTGGAGGCACCATTTGCCCAATTCAAGGCTTCTTACACCTTCCTTAGAAGCATCTGGTACTGACTGCTATCAGAGAGGAGTTGCTGAATGAGATGGATCATTGATCTGATCCAATGAGGCAGTTCCTAGATTCATTTCAAATGTATGTGTATGTATTTTCACATCCAGATTTAATTGGTAATGACCAAATATTGTTACCCATTATGAGTACAGACCCCAAAACTACTATTATTGCCCCACATTGACAGTCAAAGCAGAGAGGTCAGGGACGGAATAGTTTTTTCCCGGAATAGGTTTCAGAGACTGAACTTCCCTTTCACCCAATGGAAAGCTGGGGCAGTTGTCTCAAGTTTAGGGATGAAGTACATTAATCACTGAGACTGATGTGGGGAAACATGCCCTGCCACTGTCCATGCTGCATCTGTTCTGTGAGTAAACAAGATTTATCCATATAAATGTTCAATTCTTTTTTAATCCTGCTAAGCTCCTGGCCTCAATGACTTCCTGTAGCAATGAGTTCCAGAGTCTAAATATGCTTTATGTGAAGAAATATTTCCTTTTATCAGTTCTGAGTTTGCTGTCTTTCAGTTTTATTGAATGTGCCATTACTCTTATGTTATCAGACAGATTGAATAAAAGTTCCCGATCTACCTTCTGTAGACCATTCATTATTTTGTATACTGTTATTATGTCCCCTCTGATTTGTCACCTTCCTAAAGTAAATAATCCCAATATTTCTTACTCGCTTTTTGAGAGTTTTCCCATACCTCTGACCATTCTTGTCCACTATATCTGCACACACTCTAATTCTGCAATGTATTTTAAGAAACGGGTCACCAGAATCAACACAGTATTCCAGGTGAGGGTATAACATTAATGTGGACTAGCTTTATAACCTACCGATAAATTCCAATGGTATATTTGTTCAGAATTAAAACAAAAAGCTAAATATCCTCCCTATACCTATATCTGTAATACACAAGTAGCAGCTTCAGTTTTTGGATTTTAAGAATATGTGCATTATAGTTTAATAAAATAAACTGATGTGGAAAAAGCCATACTTAATTGAATCCACAGAATAATCACATTTTGTTCTTTAAGAGTAAAGAGCTGTTGTTGCTTTCTAAAAATAACCTCAACAGAACAGCCAAACATCAGGGAATGATGTTAAAAAGAAAATACAACCAAAAGAATACAAGCTAGTTAGTTACAACTAGGTCCAAGCAGATATATTTTAGCAAAGAAACTCCATAATCTTATACCCCAATACTAAGCCAAATACAAACAGGAGACAATATTGTGCTTGGACTAAAGAAACTGTTTCTCACTTCTGCGTGACAATGGGCAATGTGGGTGAGGTAATATCTTTTATTGGTGAGAGACGATCTTACACAAGTTGGTCCAATAGAAGATATTACCTCACCCACCTTGTCTCTAATATCCTGGGACTGACACGGCTACAACATTGCATACACGACCATAGGCAAGTAGAGGCAAGTTGCTTGTTAACCTCTCTGTGCCTTAAGTCTCCCCAGCTGTAAAATGAAGATAATGACATTACTCACATTTGCCAAGTGCTTTTTATGAGACCAACAAAGCCACCTGAGTTTGAGGCAGGATGCATCTGCTCTTTTACGGGAAGTATTCTAATGAAGACGTTTTCCTTACTGGTATTTGCATAAGCAGAATGTATTTTGTTATTATTCAAATAATTCCTAAATTAAGAAGAGACACAAGGTGTTTGCAGTGTTGCTGTAGCCATATTGGTCCCAGGATATTAGAGAGACAAGATAGGTGAGGCAGTATCTTTTATTTGACCAGCTTCTGTTGGTGAAAAAGACAAGCTTTCGAGCTTATGCAAGTCTCTTTTTCAGATCTGGAAAAGGTATTCAGTGTCTCACAGCTAAATACAATGTGGAACAGACAAACATAAGGAGTTATGTGTTAAATTAAGAAGACACTAATGATATTTTTGTACTTTCTTCCCTCATACCTTCCTATTTGCAACAACTAGCGATGGGTGAACTTCAAAGGTTCAAACAAGGATCTAGCTCAACCTTTTTGCCCTGGAAGTCTATCAAAACCAGGGTTGCTTATGCATTCTCAGTATTTCCTGGTTTGGCCCAGAATGGAAATACTGCAAGAACAAACTTCACTGCAGTATTTAGTACTCCTTGGTGAAACCAGGAAGGGCAGAAGAGTGTGAAAATTTAAAAGAAAAATGAACAAATGGTTCAGATTCAAATCAGGTTTGGGGCAGAGTTTCAAGTCTGATGTTCTCAGAAAGAGTGTGTGAATAGACTATTCAGAGAGCTGGGATTCCTGAGTTCTAATCCTGACTCTGCAATTGATTTTTTGGCAAGCCACTTAACTTTTAAGAACCTCAATTTCTCCCATCTCTAAAATGGGGATGATGTTATTGACTGACAGCCCAGCCCAAAGTTCACTGAAGTCAATGGAAACTCACACTGACTTCAGTGGGGTTCACATCAGGAGCAGGCCAATACTTCATAACTAAATAAAATATTTGTTAAAAGCCATACAAAGTATTAAGGTCAGTCACTGGCAGAAGTGGGAACAGAGTTTTGGTCCTTCTGGCTATCCACCATGTGTTTATGACACAATGCAGCGGGACTAAGCACGTGCTTAAAGTTAGCCACATGCTGAATCCAGTTCTTATCCAGTGGACCAGGTCTGGGGGAGGGCACCCCAGAGTCTAAGTACTTCCATAAAAATGCTCAAGTCATGAATCTCCTCATGGATTTTTGAAAGCCAGTCAGAGAAAGTGAGGCCATTTCCCCCAAAACAAAACTGAGGACATGAAAATGTCTGCAAAACGAATTAGTAACAATTGTGTGCAAAACTCCATGGGGACATTTTCATCAATTTCTAACAGCACTACTTTCACAGCTTGAAAATTAAATTTATTTTCTTACAGCCTTAGCAAAGTTTCTTTTTCCTCTAGCATGCAAGCACACAGTGACTTATTACTGTAGGATTGCTGATGAGTGCCACTGCAGATGGCTGGTAATAAAGTTTTACTGTTGTTAACGGGGCCTGTCTGAGGGGTGGGCAAGCATGGCACATACATCCAGTGGTCCACCATACAGCTGTGCTGCTCGCCTTTTTTTTCCCCCTCTGTGGTGACTAGACAACTATTTTCTTCTCCTGTGGGAAGCAGCCAGGAGGGCTGGAGGGGGCAGGAAGTGGTGCAGCCCCTAGACTTCCAGCTGTTTGAACTACGTTCAAATATTGAACCTACAGGGGCAGCCCAACAACAGTTTCTGAAAAGCAGGAGAACATGCTGATTAATTTGTTCTCCTTCTTGCATTTTATTTGATGTGGGAGGGGGGAAAGTATGTCCTTTTCTAACTATAACTGAAATTAAGAAGTTTATCTAAAATGAACCCCCACGTAAAGGCTCCAAACGCAGCATTATAATTTTTCACACATTTTAACGCAGCCAATGGAAACAACTATTTCTACCCCAGTTTTAATGTAATTTAGAACTATGCAAATTAGGAAGAACCACTTCACATTTTCCATTTTCCATTAGAATTACAAGTGGTAGCAATTTGTTGGCAGCAAACTAAATCCTGTGTTGGTTATATTGTCAGTTAATATCTTTTTTGTTTTCAATACAAAACAGAATAACATACAGCCTCAGAAGGTGGTAGTCTGCCACATAGAAATAATTGGATTAGTCTGTCAGAAAAAAATTAATGTTAGTCAAAATGTTTTGTCAGTAGATACATAATTCTTTGTTCGCACCTTCCCTAGAAAGGACACTAGACCAGTCGATGTTGTACAATGCTAAAATATTCAGTGAGAAAAATATTTGCATATCAAGGAACTGAAAGGCAGAAAAGTAAATACATTATAAAAATTATGATATACATAGAATATCAGCAACTTTCCTTAATTATAGTATGGTAGTAAAACGATATGTTGCACATTTTATAGACCAGACTCCTAAATACATTCTGGGGCAGATCAAGTCTTACTTCAAGTATTTACTTACATCAAGTAAATACTTCCAGATCAAATCTACATCATTTTGCAATTAAATATTTCAGCATTTATAAGAAATGCCATTTTTCAGTATGTTAAATAAATATATAAAAATTGACTATTCCTTTGATAGATGTTACATTTTAAACAAAAAAAATTACCTAGAAAACACTACAAAACAGAAAACTATCAGTCAATATGATATGATATCAGACAATTTTTCCCCTTCGGGAGGGGAAAAATACTGGATAAGTATAAATGGCTCCAGCCATGGGGAGGGCACGGGTGGAAGGGGTGGAGCCGAGGGCTAGTCTCTCGAGAGGGGGCCTCCACCTGCCACCCATGAGCACTTCCCCTCCCCCCACCACAAGTTCTGGCAAAATAAGCCAACAACTAGAAAAGTAGGTTATCCCAGAATATCATGTTTGGTCTGAGTTGTGTTGTATTAATTTAGATAGAATAAATGGACCCAAAGTGTCAAAGGTGTTAACATGACCCAGACTGCCCAGTCACTGCAAACGTTAAACAGTATTAAATAAGGTCTGGCATACAGATACTACTACTTAGTACTATGGCAAACATGCTATTGAAATCCTTTTATTAAAGATACAGAAAAAGAAGGAAAATCAGAGCATTTTAAATGGAAAACATTAAGTATGGCTTTCATTTTAACAACATCCCTTGTTCATGTTCCCTTCAGCTGGAGCAAATCTTTAAAGGAAAAACCCACTTGTTTGACAATCTCTTAGATGGTATCTGTAATAAATATAAAGGGAAGGGTAATCACCTTTAAAATCCCTCCTGGCCAGAGGAAAAATCCTCTCACCTGTAAAGGGTTAAGAAGCTAAAGGTAACCTCGCTGGCACCTGACCAAAATGACCAATGAGGAGACAAGATACTTTCAAAAGCTGGGAGGAGGGAGAAAAAAAAGGGTCTGTGTCTGTCTGTGTGATGCTTTTGCTGGGGACAGAACAGCAATGGAGTCTTAGAACTTAGTAAGTAATCTAGCTAGGTATGTGTTAGATTATGATTTCTTTAAATGGCTGAGAAAATAGCTGTGCTGAATAGAATGAATATTCCTGTCTGTGTGTCTTTTTTGTAACTTAAGGCTTTGCCTAGAGGGATTCTCTATGTTTTGAATCTAATTACCCTGTAAGGTATTTACCATCCTGATTTTACAGAGGTGATTCTTTTTTCTTCTTCTTCTATTAAAAGTCTTCTTGTAAGAAAACTGAATGCTTTTTCATTGTTCTAAGATCCAAGAGTTTGGGTCTGTGGTCACCTATGCAAATTGGTGAGGATTTTTACCAAACCTTCCCCAGGAAGTGGGGTGCAAGGGTTGGGAGGATTTTGGGAGAAAAGACGTTTCCAAACAACGTTTTCTCAGGAACCCAGATAAAGTTTGGTGGTAGCAGTAGAAGTCCAAGGGCAAAGGGTAAAATAGTTTGTACCTTGGGGAAGTTTTAACCTAAGCTGGTAAAAGTAAGCTTAGGAGGTTTTGATGCAGGTCCCCACATCTGTAGCCTAGAGTTCAGAGTGGGGAAGGAACCTTTACAGTATCAAAGAGGATAATAATTTTTTTCTGTGGGGAAAAGAGAAGAAATTAGCTGAAAAGGGCTGGAGCTGTTAAAATCTGACC